CCTATTTTCATTTAACTCCGACAACTCCTTATCTTCGATGGATTCCTGGCGTATAATTGGAGAAACGCTTTCATCAGCATCACAGGTTACATTCCCAGCTAACGCCTCCACCCCGTTTCCCAGAGTATCATCGCCCGATGTAACTGGTTTACTATCAACTATTGCTGGACAATTATCAGCCGCTGACCCGTTATCCTCGTTGACCGAGCTACGATCTTTCTCCGCGGGGATTACTCGTTTCAATATTGGCTGTAGATCGCCGCTTACCGTAACAAGTCCTTTCACTCTCGGTTCCCCTCCGTAATCATGTGAAATATCACGTGATTCACTGCTACATTCACTGCTACATTTCTCGGGCGTCCTGTTTTTCTTGCTATAGCAAACAGTCTCCCAACCCTCTCCGTCTTCCTCGACTTTCAAGTTCTGTTCGTGAATCGCAACAAAACCATTCTGTTCCACGACACTTTGCACCGTCTCCACTTCAATCGAGGCTGTCTGTTATAATGAAATACATGAACACACTATGAGCGCATGAATACACAATGCACAATCTATTTAAAAAAAACCCTGAAACTTTGTTCGGAATAACATTAGTTTTATATCAGGGCTTTCCAGTTGTGAGCAGGACAGGTAAAACAGGTTTTTTAACAAGGCCAAAAAAAAATGTGGGTTTCCGATTTCCCGACCGAACGGACGCCGAAATGCCGACCCTAAACTTTTTTATTGGATCATGTTTGTAAGTGTTTCCACTTAGAGGAAAACGTTTGTGAAAAATGGAAATTTTAGGCAATATTAGGGAAATTTATCTTTGAATGTGGAAGCACTGACTAAACAAAATGGCGTCCAGTTGTTAGGGAAATTAATTAAAAAAAAGTTAAAAAAAAAGAAGTTAAAACCGACCTACCCTACCTAAGTTTTTACAAGAAGAAACAGGAAACCCACATATTTTTTTTGGCCCAAGCGACTCATCGCTCGAAACGTCGAAGTTCTCCTTACATTTTTCACGTAGTTATATATCTCTCTCAATCTGTAAATAGCTGTTAAATGCGTATATTACCTGGGCTTTTACGGATGATTCAGAAGAAATTGTTTTTTTCCCTTTAACTCTGTCGGCCCAAGATATGACATTGCTTTCTGTCTTTCCTTCCGATTCAAACTCCAGAGTTCTGACAGCGTTCTTAGCGAACACTGGTGGAGGACTGGGAGCAGCGTTCTTCCCTGGAGATAACTTACGTACTGCCCAAGCCAACGACTGTGGTCTAAATAAATTGGAATATTTATAGACAACAACAACAGCAGCAGCGACAACGACACAACAACAACAACAACAACAACAACAACAACAACAACAACAACAACAACAACAACAACAACAACAACAACAACAACAACAACAACAACAACAACAATTTCATTTGAATTGTGTCAAGTAGAACTGATTTATTCGGATGGTCTGCACAGTGCACAATTCAAAAGAAATCAAGCGAAATATTTCGAATTTTTTTTCCTGCAAGTGCATGGAAATCTTCCCTTAGGCCTGTTTTGTACGTCGAATTTTGGTCGTGCCGAATGCAATTAAGCCTCATAATAAACCTCATAAAGTTTCATTATCTATTGTTTAAATTGCTTAAGTCACAGCTTATTATTATTAAAACTTTATTTAATGAGGGATTACATTGATTACTTAATAGTATTCTTCCCAATGGCCCTCGATGTCTAATATGAAAAATCTTATTGAGATAACATTGACAATGAGTAATATGTTTACATTCGATACAGCGGAACTTATTAACGTGATCCACTTCATAATTCAATTGAAGAAAGTAGGTTTTGGGCTTCTTCATTGAGTGATTTTCAATATCTTTTAATTCGGATGGTAAAGAATTGAATAAACTTACACAACTGTAGGAAATCTTGGATTCTGGTATTGGATGATCCAATTCCAACCAGATAGACGATCTGTTTGGAATTGGATGAGAGTCGCGAACAAAGACAAACAATTTACGAACTGATCCGGCGGCCAAGATGTTTTTAAAGTATTAAATACCATCAATATTTTTCTCACTTTGATTAGATTAAAAATAGGTATCCAATTGAATTACGGAAAACCACAATTGAAGGCATTTCGGTTGACTGTTCAAGAATTAGCACGTTTCTGTAATTTTAGTAGGCACGTAATTAGTTCGTTTAAAAAAATCTTAGCACGCCCCACAGTGTGCTACAATATAGCAATAGTGTATAGCAAAATTGTATAATGATCTACCTCGTGATATTAAGAAAATTGACGACACGAAGACTACTAAATGATCTTTTTAGCAAAAACTATTTTAGCCATTACATTAACTATATGTATATAGTATTTATTTCTTTGTAGCGGAAGATCCCTTTTTAGGGAACTATAATCAAGTTTCTATGTTCTATGTTCTGTGCACATGAATAAACTGCATGCAGGCCATTTTATGCCGATCAATTTTTCGTCAGCGCTGTGATGGAAACATATGGTAGTTCAAAATTGACTTGCCCATCATCTTCTGAGATAAGAAATTTCTTAAAAAGCAGCGGATAATCGTCAGTGTTTTGATGAGGAGATGAAACCCTTAACCAACGCTTGAATTCTTCAAATGACTTACATCGACATGAGAAGATCGCTCCCTCTACCACAACATTGTTGAAGAGACGTCGCGACCTCTTGAAACAGATCTCGATAGCCCTCTTGGGTTAATGAATAAAATCCTGTCAACGCTACATCATTCGGGAACTTTGCGCAACACCAGATGGCCAGTTTCCCCCCAGCTTTCAAACATTGATGTGCTTTCTGTATGTAAATTCTTTTCTCATCATCAGGAACCCAGTGGAATACATTCGTGCTGATATGAACATCGTAATACGGCTCATTATCGTTTGGAAATCCAATCACACTGCTACCAACATAGAACTGAAGATTGCGTACTTCTTTATATTTCTCTTCAGCAATTTTGATTCGCTCGGCATCGGGATCGATTCCGACCGCCTGACCATCAGGGCCAACAATATCAGCGATATATTTAGTGAGATGGCCTGTACCGCAACCCATCTCAAGCACTTTGTCTCCAAAGGAGAGGTTGAAGTCACAGATAAATTGACTACCTACTTCGATTTGTGGTCCACTGACTTCATCGTAGGCTTTAGCATTCGCATCAGTCTCCATTTTCGTACAAGAAAATCACAACATGGCGGCACAACTTGTGGGGTAGACAAAGAGTAAATATATATACTTTGTTTAGGCTATGTTTACATTGTATCGGATAACTTTGCGTCCGACGCAAAAACCATATCGGATAGGGCTTCTTTTTTCTTTTTTTTTTCCCATGTATAAAAATCTACTTAAAATATATTACAATAATTTGAAGATGTTGGGCTAGAGACCTACTAGAAATCTTCATAGACTTTTTATTTTAGGTCTCTAGTTACTGTTCGTTTTATCACATAATCGATTATTTACAGTCAATCAATACATAATATGTAAAATCAGAAAGTTTTGAAGTATATACACTATATTTACGAGAGAAAAAGAAGTGGGAATGTTCGTATTATATAAATTAATAGTAATGTTGTAGATGCATTTAATTTTACAATGACAATGTTGGGCTACAATAGACTAAAGTATATGTCATTATATACATTAGAGAAGTATGTTTTATATATTGGTAATTGTGTATAGCAAAAAATGTTGTTTAATTTTCTGTTTACATATGAAATGTTGTTATCGTCTCAATTTCTGCACCGGTGGTGCGGCGGTTCGCTCTTCGAAGTGGTGCGCTGTGTATGGACTAATTTATTTTCAAAAAAAATAATAAATTGGGATTAATAGGTCGCAACATCCCTACTTAATAGATATACAAAAACCTAATGGGAAAACAACAAACCCCAAAGGGATTAGATAAGCAAGGAAAACAGATATCCGGCCAAAATTACCAAAAAGATCTTCTGCCAACAAGTTCTGCCAAGTTAACGACACTAATGGCATTTTTTCTGCCAAGCCGGCATTCGTTACCTATCAGCAATAGACTGCAAAAAACATCTCAGTTCATACTGTTTTCAACTGCCTTTGAGTAGACACCAAGAAAAATCAATCTCGTCAATTCGCAATGATCCACCTCAAGACCCACGGAAGATCACTGCCGTAACTACAACCGTAGAGTCCCCTGTGCCACCAACCCCTGTCCATTTAAGCATCGCTGTAACCGACCCGGCTGCATCGGTCACCACCCAGCAATGGACCTTTAACCTTATAACTAAAATTTTGATCTAGACAAAAATTTCATCACAGCTTGAAAGAGCATCACAAAATTAGTAATATTCCGAAGTTTCGTTACGAGATGTTGTAAAATGCGGATAATATAGCCCTGCGAAGTTTGCAATTTTCAGTCATTTTAGATTACAAACGGGAAATTGATACCCAAACACCCGATTCGTCTTCTCCTTCTTTCTTTCCCCTTCCCGCCCTCCCTCGCGCGCCGCCCTTCGCGCCGCTTTTTTCCTCGCGCCGCCTTTTCTGGCGAGCAAATTATTCTCTCGCCGCTTTTCCATCTGCTTTGGCCTCAGTGGCTTTGGCTTTTCATCTACTTTCCTTTCGCGTTCGCGCTGTATTTAGAGATCAAAAGACGCCTGTGGAGGAGGCAGACGTCCTGCATTTTCCGAGGAACTTGATACTGTTATGCTTTGGGCGGCCTTTACCTTGGCCTTCTTCGGTTTTCTACGCGTCAGCGAATTCACATATTCAAGTGCAAAGACTTTTCTCTCTGTCAAGGACATCGTTTTCATCCCGAACATAAAGACTCCTGAATCTCTACAAGTGCGCATAAAGCAATCAAAAACGGACCCGTTTCGCCACGGAACTACTCTGGCTATCTCTAAAAGTCACTCGTCAGTATGCGCTGTCAACACCTTACGAGAGTATTTACTGCAACGAAACACTTCTAACATTGATGAACCTTTATTTATCCTGCAGAACGGGGAACCGCTCACAAGAACTTTACTTAATGCTAATTTAAGAGAACTTTTAAATATTTTAGGCTACGTCGAACAAGAATACGCCCCGCATAGCTTTAGAATAGGTGCAGCTACCACAGCTGCAGCTGCGAATCTGCCACCTTGATTAATAAACACTCTTGGTAGATGGCGATCGGACTGTTATGAACTGTATATTCGTACACTGGGAACGATCATAAACTCTGTTCCTCAAAAATTAGCTGCAGTACTTAATCCTTAAACCATACTGTATCTCTATGCAACTGTTTATATTCAATATTATATACATCATCCTGCATGCTCCACGTGGGGGATCTACACTTCGTTTCGATCAGTGGCGGAAAGTGGTGTCCACTCGGCCACACTTCACCCACGGTGAAGCACACACCGGCAAAGGGAGCAAGGTCCATAACGGCGGGGGCCCTTACCCTCGTCCTTGATCTTCGCATCTCTCGGTCACTTCACCACGGGGAAGCCCGGTCCGGACACGAGTTTCAATGTCCATAACGGTGAGGGCCCTTACTCTCACCCTGATGTTGTTTCTCCAGCTTTTCTGGGGGCCCTTACCTCCAGAAACCGCACTTCCCGTCACCCAATTTGGCCACAAAGGATTTGCGTGATTTATTAACGGATCGGTTTTTGCAACGCTCTCATTGCAATGTAAACACCAATCGGAGCAATTTCGGTTCAATGCGTGACTCAAGATGGAATCTGGCAGCAACAACTTACTATTCTAATAATATATAGAAGAAAATACGACGGCATAGATGGGCGTGGCGGAAGGTGTTTACACTCGGGCCGTAACTTTTCGCGAACGAAACAAAAACTGATCCGATACAATGTAAACATAGCCTAATCACAAAATTTCATGCATGTATGGTTCAGTGTTTCCACTCGCAAAAAAATAATTTCCTTCTCCATAACCCGAAATTTCCTTTTTTCCCCACAAAATTTCCTTCCAAAAATCTCTAAATATCCTTCCATTTTTCCTTCAAAAATTTTTATCAAAATTGACAGATTTACCTGGTAATTAACATCTAAACTCTAGTATTGAAACACATTATATTAATTTATAGCAGATAAGATCAGCTCATCTTTGCCCCAGGGGAACAAAAAGCATAATAATTGGGGTCTACTTGCTGTGGGTGCGAAAAGAGATTCCATAACTGTTTCTTGCATCTCTCCCCTCTGGACACACACACGAGAAACCCCTAGGGCCTTTCCTACCCACGCTAAGTAGCCCCGCCAAGTAGAGTCTGAGAAATAATACCCTGGGTATTCTGGGTACAAAGGTTGGTTGTTATTTCAATATAGCGATTCTGGGGTCCTGTCCTAGATACATAGTTGCCAACTTTGGAAAAAAACCATCCGAAATTTTGAAAATATGGAGTCTCTAGATCGTTGGAAATGGCATTTTCAGAGTGTTCTTTTGCACAAAATTGTATGAAAATTGCCTTATTCTTAGAAATTATGAGATTAAATGGAATTTCCTTCTCATTTCCATCCTTATAATAATATTTCCTCCCAATTTCCTTCCAAATGCTATTTCCTTCCAAATTTCCATCCAAAGGCCAAAATTTCCTTCTGGAAGGAAATTTCCTTCCAAATGGAAACGCTCGTATATATGGTTTCATAATGTAAAATAAGCCTGCGGGCATAAAATAAGCCTGCGGTTCACACATGCCTGCGCTTGCGCTATCATTGTTTACAGCTGTTGATGCATCGCTTTATTTTATTGTAGGTTTTGAGGATTTTTGAATAAATAGCAGGTTAGAAAAAATGGGCGAAGAAAAAAAGGGCGAGAAAAAACGGGCGAAGGAAAAAGGGCGAAGGAAAAATAACGCGCCTGCAACCGTCCTTAATAAAAATTAATTCCCCATTCAGATTCTGAACGGAAAATACTGATTGGTCAAAATTTGGCACAAGGTGTTCTCGCTTCCGGTCCGTGCTTTGAATTCTTTAAAAAAACTAGTAAAAGGCTAACCTTGAAAGATGAGCAAAATTTGTGGTCCCAGAGATATTCTCAACGACTTTGCCATTCTCAACACAACGTTAAACTAAGCATTATCACGTCTGTCAAGCGACGTGAAAGCTTATCCGACCCAAGAGGTGTTACTTAAAGTCGAAATTACAGCAAACATTGCATCGCTTTAGCCGAGCTTAGTCATTTTCGAGGTTATTTGAGAAAGCTTGAAACATTTATCACAGTAATCAAATTGCTTAACGCTCATCCTTGAGCTAAAATTCATTTTTATTAAGGACGGTTGCAGGCACTTTATTTTTCCTTCGCCCTTTATTCTTCGCCCGTTTTTTCTCGCCTTTTTTTGTTTCTTCGCCCATTTTTTCTAACCCGCCATTTAATCTTCAAATCGCATTTGCCGGAAGCCAGGAATCCTGGCTAAGATTGAACTACGCATTCCATTTCAACGGCCAATCAGATTCCTCCCTGAAACGGATTATCCCAGAGCCTCACGTTCTTTCCCGGGGATCGCAGGCTCCGGGAACGAGATTGATCTTTTTTATTTTGTCACATGTTTTCCATGTAAATTGTAAACAACCCTTCAGTGCCTTCCGGTCAGTCACTCTAAATGGAAAGCGCATAATCCGAATGGGATTTTCTATCCGAAATTTTGCTTACCATTAGCACAATTTCAAACCGGATGGGTTTTCCATGTAAATGGTAAACAACCTAGGTTTTCCCATTCCCATTTTTGTGTCTTTCATTCCCAGTAACCCAAATCCATTTTACCAGTCCAAAAATACGCAAATCCCAATTTCCATTCTACCCCTTGAGGACCCTCTTGAAATTGGAGATTTATTGATTTGAGTAATTGACTGATGAAATAAGCTAAGCGCACGTGTTCTATTCTTACCTGGATAACCTGATCGGCCCAATTTTGGGGCATGCACACACCATATATGGGCTTGGCTGACAAATTAATACATATTAAAATATAACGGTCCGCTTGTTTTTGAAGAATTTCCTTAGGTCTGTTCTGTACGTCGAATTTTGGTCGCGTCGAATGCAATTAAAACAATAGATGAGATGATAAACCTCATTAAGCTTCATTATCTATTGTTTGAATTGCATTCGATGCGACCGAAATTCGACGTATAATTTTATACGTCGAATTTTGGTCGCGTCGAATGCAATTAAGACAATAGATAATGAGATTATAAACCTCATTAAGCTTCATTATCTATTGTTTGCCGTGATGCATTCGACGCGACCGAAATTCGACGTATAAAACAGGGCTTAGATTTCCAGAGTAAAAAATTATTTTCTTTGAAAAATGTTTACTCGGGACTTCGCCACTGCTGAGTTGCAAGGAAAATTTCGCTGTCGAAATTTTTCACTCAATTTCTTTTGAATCGTGAGCGGTCAAGTAGAAGTGATTTATTATTTATTTAGCTTTGCCAACCAGGGCAGGGTCACCACAACAGCATGTGCCAATTACTGTGGGCCCTTTTACCTAACCCACCCTGTCAACTTTCCCTGTGGGAGGAAACCGGAGTACCCAAGGAAAATCCACAACTTTCGGCAGAGCGTTGACTTTTACTCTTTTCACATAAGGACTGGGTTCGAGTCGCATTGAGAAGTTCTCACTGAGGCTTGAACCTGCGCCTCAGGTGAAAGGCAAGTGGTCAGCACTTGTTTCCAACCACCAAACTGACATGACGTCATTTTCAGAAGATTGAAGAGGTGTTAAATGGCTATGTAACTAGCCCAAACACTACCCCTACTCTAACCCCTAACCCTAACCGCAACCCTAACTCTAACCCTAACCAAATTAATTAAAAAATCCAAAAAGAAACAACTTTAGAAATTGATCAAATGACGTAATGTCAGTTTGGTAGATGGAAACAAGTGAAAACCAAGGCAAGTGCGCTAACCACCTGGCCACCGTAGCCCCTCGGATGGTCTACACAATTCAAAAGAAATCAAGCAAATTATATTTCGACGACGAAATATTTCCTTGTAAGTACATGCCACATGGAAATCTTCCCTTAACGGCCCATTTCCACTTAAGAAAATTTTCCACGGACAGAAAATGTTCCGAAAAAGTTGGACATTTTCAACTTCAAAATTTTTTTTCCGACGAATAATTTTTGTTGGCCAATCACATTTTACAAAATTTTCTTTCTGCGGAAAATTTTCCTCAGTGGAAATAGGCATTTAGTCATAGCTTATTGCAATAGGTGGGAGATGTCTGTACGGTAGTGTACTCTAGGTACAATCAGGAGTACATGCACATTGTGCATGAAAGAACTACAGGTCATTTTATGCCGATTAATTGGTTTTGAACGCCGTGATGGAAATGAATGGTAGTTCAAAATTGACTTGCCCATCATCTTCTGAGATAAGAAATTTCTTAATAAGGAGCGGATAATCGTCAGTGTTTTGATGAGATGAAACCCTTAACCAACGCTTGAATTCTTCAAATGATTTAAATCGATATGGGCAGATCGGTCCGTCTACCACAGCATTGTTAAAGAGACCAACCTCTTGAAACAGATCTCGATAGCCCTCTTGCGTTAACGAATAAAATCCTGTCATAGCTTCAACATCATTCGGAAACTTTGCGTCACAGAAGATGGCCAGCTTCCCCCCATGTTTCAAGCATTGATGTGCTTTCCGTATGTAAATTATTTTCTCGTCACCAAGTAACCAGTGGAATGCATTCGTGCTGACATGAACATCATAATATGGTTCAGTATCGTTTGGAAATCCAATCACACTGTTACCAACACAGAACTGAAGATTACCGACTTCTTTATATTTCTCTTCAGCGATTTTGATTCGCTCAGCATCGGGATCGATTCCGACTACCTGACCATCAGGGCCAACAATATCAGCGATATATTTAGTGAGATGGCCTGTACCGCAACCCATGTCAAGTACTTTGTCTCCCAAGGAGAGGTTTAACTCACGGATAAATTGACTACCTGCTTCGATTTGTGGTCCACTGAGTTCATCGTAGGATTTAGCATTCGCATCGGCCTCCATTTTCGCCGACAAGAAAATCACAATATGGCAGCACTATTTATAGTGTAGATTTAAATCACAAACATTCCATGCATGTATGGTTTCATCATACTTAACTAGTGTCATATTTATGTAAAATACTTAGCTTTCATCTTGGTTCATAAAGGTCAAGAACACTTGTGCCGAATACACGCACAAATTGTCCTAACTTGGACGAACAAGCTATAACAGTTACGATTTGAGGTTTGCCGCGTAAACGCCAATCTTTAACTCTCTAATTCTGTAATCCGTATATATACCACTGAAATACACGCAATTCGAGACCGAGCCGAAGCTTTAATATTACATTAGACGAAAGTCTTCTAGACAATTAAGAACACAAGGTCTTGTACTCATGGGTACTAGAACACAAGGCTTGTACTCATGGGACAAAACTGAAAGAAATAAAAATTAGAAAATTTAAAAGTTTTTAAGAGTTTTATCCCATGACAGGCGTGAGTGCAAGACCTTGTGTTCTTACCCAACCATTAATTCAAAGCAATTAGAGCTGTCAAATTACTACTGTACAATACGTTATAGCTAATTTGAATTTGAAAGGTTCACTTTTTTTTTGAGACACACTGTATATAGATGAATCACTGCAGTGTCTGCGAACATCCAGGCGGACAAAAAAATACACAAGATAGACAACTACAGAGTCAGAGAAAGTTGACTAGTTGAGTAATCACTCCGCCCGCTCGGGCAAAGCGACTGCAATGGAAAATTGCCTTAAAGCCGGTTTTCCACTAGGCGGAATTTTGCGCGCGGAGCGGAATTTTTCTTTGTCTTGTGATTTCTCAGGTGGAACTAATTAGAAAAGACAAAGAAAATTTCCGCTGCGCGCGCAAAATTCCGCCTAGTGGAAATCAGGCTTAACAGTTACGATTTGAGGTTCGCTGTAATTCTGCAATCCGTATACCACTGAAATACATAGAGCTGTGCGCCGGAGTACCGGAGCTCCGTATACCACTGAAATACATAGAGCTGTGCGCCGAAGTACCGGAGCTCCGGCATATTTTGCCGGAGCCGGAAAACTTCGGCAAAAACTCCAGGAGACAAAATTATGAAAAATTATTTCGGTACTATTACTTTTGGTACTGGAAAAATTAAGTTGAATGATTTGCAGTTACTGTAAAGTTTAAATACTTGCTCCGATCCGATTCGTGGCTTCGAAAATTCTGCAAGCACATTACTATCGCTTTTGATACAAAAATCCGCTGATCCCAATGTATTTTGGGCGAAAATACCACGCTGCCATGCGGTTTTACTTTCTACAAAACATTGTTTAAACAAGCACCGAAGTGCGTATATTTGAAAAGTAAAGGAGAAAGCTCAAAAAGGAATAAACTAAATTCTGAAATTACACTGAAATACTTTCGCCTGCTTCTACTTTTAAGTATGAAATTTTCTTGCCGGAGCCGGAGTTTTGACTGCCGGAGCCGGAGCTAAAATAACCGGAGTTTGGACAGTTCTAGAAATACATGTAATTCAAGTCCGAGCCGAAGCTTATACGGCATTGGACGAAAGTCTTCTAGACTATTGTAGGTACAAGCAGGGACCACTGATCTATATTAAATCAGTGACAGGGACATATACAGGGTGTCCCAAAAAAGTACCCTCTATAGAAATTATCCTATTGTTATAATTTGAATGCCTGAGCACTATGCTGAACCTGACAAGAGTGCGTAAACACAATTGAATTGAATTTTTAATTACCAGTCGCATAAAATCCTGTGCTTAACAACAATAGGATAAATTTCTATAGAGGGTACTTTTTGGGGGACACCCTGTACAGTACATGAATCACTGCAGGCCAATTTATCATCTTCAAATTGTTTGTCTTCGGAAATGAACATTATTCTTTGAGAAATAGTGACTAAACTGTATATGCTTCGGAAAACACTCGGTAAGACATCTATATAGGTCCAACAATTTGGTCAAAACTTGATAAGGAAACCAGAGCGCCTACAAGCTTGGACATATCGAGTATAATATATAATACTAATTGCTGCAAACTCGGCAGCTCATGATATAAGTAATTTTAAATTTTTAGCTGTCTATTGCGCGTACTTATAAGTAATTGACCAATATTGTAATAATGATCTATATCATAAATAGTGTCCTCAATTAGTTGTAAATAAGCCAAAACATTGACACTGAAATAAAGTTATTAGGACTGTTATTATCCCGATCAATTTGTGCATGCTATGATGCGAATACATGGTATTTTACAAGTGACTTGCCCATCATCTTCTATGGTAACACATTTCTTAATGAATTCTGGATAATTGTCAGGTTCCATGTCCTGGCGAGTTGTAGCTTTTAACCATCGCTTGAATTCTTCAAATGATTCATATCGATATGGGTGGATCGGTCTGTCTACCACAACATTGTTGAAGAGACCAACCTCTTGAAACACATCTTGATAGCCCTCTTGGGTTAATAAATGAACTCCTTCGACTTTCTCCTCACTCGGTATCTTTGCGGCACACCAGATGGCCAGTTTCCCACCAGCTTTCAAACATCGATGTGCTTTTTGTATGTAAATTCGTTTCTCGTCATCAGGAACCCAGTGGAATACATTCGTGCTGATATGAACATCGTAATACGGCTCATTATCGTTTGGAAATCCAATTGCACTGCTACCAACACAGAACTGAAGATTGTTGGCTTCTTTAGATTTCCCTTCAGCAATTTTGATTCGCTCAGCATCGGGATCGATTCCGACCGCCTGACCATCAGCGCCAACAATATCAGCGATATATTTAGTGAGATGGCCTGTACCGCAACCCATGTCAAGCACTTTGTCTCCCAAGGAGAGGTTTAACTCACGGATAAATTGACTACCTGCTTCGATTTGTGGTCCACTGTGTTCATCGTAAGCTTTAGCAGTCGTATCGGTATCCATTTTCGCACAAGAAAATCACAAGACGGCGGGACAACTTATAGTTTAGATATAAATCACAAATATTTCATGCATGTATGGTTTTATTATACTTAATTACTAATTAGTGTCATATTTATGTAAAATACTTAGCTTTCACCTAGGGCAACAGGAATCGCAGGGCCGCAGGTTCGACTCCTGCCTCGCTCATGATTTCACCCAATAACCAAATAAACTGCCTGCTAACTAGTCGGCAACAATGTAGAACTTGTTTCCAAATGGGCAAAAACATCTCCAACGCCGTAGAGAGTTTAGAAATATAATAATAATACGATACTATTTGTGTGTGTAAGTGTCTTGGTGTTATGTACTCAGGTCATATGACTCAGGTGAACAAGGGGAAATATATACTTCAAAAACTCATTAATAATTCATGAGGAAAACACAAAGAGAAATCATAAGCGTGGCGTGTCTTTATATGTGATAAAACACGCTTCAAAAAGTAATCAAAACAAAACAAAACAAAACAAAACAAAACAAAACAAAACAAAACAAAACAAAACAAAACAAAACAAAACAAAACAAAACAAAACACGAGTGGTAATAAGGTAAAAGTAAAAAAATAGATGTTGTCAATGTCTGCTATAGACAGGCAAGGATAGATGGCATCATAGACAAACCAGAAGACATGTCTTCTGGATTGTCTATGATGGCATTAAACATAAGAAAAGCGTTCATTAATGCCAGAAGGGTGAACAGTGCCAAGTTTGGATATGAGGCGCATTTCATGTCGTTTGCGGCTATCGTTGCTTCCAAATCGGACAGAGGGCTCGAATTAACATATCTGAAATTTCGCTCTCGACCAATCAATGCATTTGTTGACATTTTCGCTCTAAGCCAACCAGAATGCGTAATTGGTTACTACTTCCGGTAAAAACACACATTTGAACAGAAAATATAGTCTTAAATAAAGCTTCGAGGGGGTCACGATTTTTAATTTTTTTGATTTGATTTAACGTGACAAGGTAAAACAAGAAATTTTCTAAAAATTTGCCGCTGGGATTTGCGTTTCATTGCCTAGTTTTAAAGTTATCGGCATTCGAACAGCGGCGTATAAAAAATGCGTAAGATCGAATGTCGATAATTTTAGAACTAGGCAATAAAACGCAAATCCCAGCGGCAAATTTTTAGAAAATTTCTTATTTAACTTGTCACGTTAAATTCAATCAAAAAATTAAAAATCCTGACCCCCTCGAAGCTTTATTTAAGACCCTATATTTTCTGTTCAAATGTATGTCTTTACCGGAAGTGGGCTTTCTGTGCTCGCAGGGAAACTACCTACAATAACCAATTACGCATTCTGATTGGCTTAGAGCGAAATTGTCAACAAATGCGCTGATTGGTCGAGAACGAAATTTCCCCTTGTTACTCAGGTGAATATGATGTTTGTGATGTTACTCTGAATATGCATCCACACCGGACAAGCTGAAAAGGTGGGAATCCTGACCACGGTGGGAATCAAAACCGCGACCTTTGGGATACTAGGCCAATGCTCTACCAACTGAGATGTGAGGTCAAGTTCGTGATATTTCGGAACTGAATCTAGTTCCATTGATATAACTGAGAAATGAAAAATGAGCCTGCGATGCGCGAACGCAAACTCGATTTCTCGACGACGAAAAACCAGAAAACCTCCAGAAAATTAGGGATTTAAGACACTTGGCCTTACAGGCCGGTGTAATAATACATTCTAAAAGTGATTGGGTTTAATTAGATTACATTTATAATTGATTGGAAAGAAAAAGATTAAACATACACTATCAATTATCACTTTACCGTACTCAGGGACGTAGCGAAGCATCGGAAGTTGGGGGGTCCGGAGGATTTTACCTGAAATTTGAAATTTAATGTTCAAAATTTACCTGAAGTGTAATAATTATAATAGAGCTTTTTGTGATTGATTTCCACTGTGATACTAAGTTTCCTAAGAAAAGGGGGATCAGAAAATTTTGCATTTTTGAAGCTCCTGGACCGCTGCATTTCTGGCGTTTTGTAAAGCAAATTCGCAAACGAATTGGATCTGAATCGGACTTTATCTTACAAAAATGGTTATCATTTCACAAAAATAACGACTTTATTACGCAAATTGTACCTGAAAATGTCAAAATTTTAACTTGAAATTTATGTGCGTTTTACCCAAGTTTCACAGTTGGGGAGGGGGGGGGGGTCACACCCTGACCGTACTTGAAGTGTAGATCTCGACAGTTTGAAGCTACGTATCATACAGACATAAACCTTTGTTAGCTTTCTCCGTTCCAATATTAAATTATTAAAATATTCACTGTCCACTTAACTATCAATCATCCTTAGAATATTCAAATTGACCAAACAGGCACTTTAACAACACTATGATCCCTTTTACTGCCGTTCAGTGTTACAGATTGACGTTTTACGACAGATCGGTTACCGCAAACGATAATCTTCAAATCCCATTTGAAGGTGCGTTCCGGCTACAAGTTTTCGACAGTAGCTAAATCACGCTTCAATTTGAATGACAATAGCCCGCCGACATACCGCAGGTATATGTGAACCAGGAGTACCAGGCTATAGTTCGCTTTCACCTTGGTTCAAAAAGATCAACCAGAATCGCAGGGTTCGATTCCTGCGTCGCTCATGATTTCACCCAATAACCAAATAAACTGCTTGCTAACTCGGCACCAATGTAGAACTTGTTTCCAAATGGGCAAAACCATCTTCAACGACGTAGAGAGTTTATAAATATAATAATAATACATTCTAAAAGTCATTGGGTTTCATTAGATTACAATAATAATTGATTGGAAAGTAAAAGATTAAACACACATTATCAATTAATCAGTTGAGGGGAGTTACACACTCCATATCCCCTCCCCCCGTTGCTACGTCCCTGACCGTACTTGAAGAGTAGATCTCTACAGCTTGAAGCCACGTGTCATATAGACATAACCTTTGTTTGCTTCCTCCGTTCCAATACTAAATCACTAAACTATTCACTGTCCGATTAACTGTCAATCATCCTTGGAATATTCAAATTGACCAAACAAGGCACTTTAACAACAACACTATAATCGCTTTTACTGCCGTTCAGTGTTACAGATTGACGTTTACGACAGACCGGTAGCCGCAAACGGTAATCTTCAAATCGCATTTGAAGGTACGTTCTACAAGTTTTCGACAGTAGCTAAATTATGCTTCAATAATTATCAATTTGAATGCACAAATTTCCTAACTTGGACAACTAACAGTTGACGTCAAAATACGATTTGAGGTTTCCCGTTTCCAGTCTGCCATAAACGTCAATCTGTAACTCTCTTTCCATATACCTCTGAAATACATGGAATTTGGCCCAGTCTGAGCTATAGCTTATTACATTAGGCGAAAGCATATTTATTTCATTGGCAAAAGTCGTCTAAGCTACAATAGGTACAAGCAATGCAGAGACATATGTACTGTACATGAATCACTGCAGGCCATTTTATGCCGATCAATTCTTGCATGCTGTGATGCGAATACATGGTACTTTACAAGTCACTTGCCCGTCATCTTCTGTGGTAACAAGTTTTTTAATGAACTCCGCATATTTGTCAGGGTCCAGGTCCTGACGAGTTGTAGCTTTGAAAGATCGCTTCAATTCTTCAAATTATTCATATCGACATGGGTAGATCACTTTGTCTACCACAACGTTATTGAAGAGACCAACCTCTTGAAACACATCTTGATAGCCCTCTTGGGTTAATAAATGAATTCCTTCGACTTTCTCCTCATTCGGTATCTTTGCGCTACATCAGATGGCCAATTTCCCCCCAGCTTTCAAACATCGATGTGCTTTCTGTATGTAAACTCTTTTCTCGTCATCAGGAACCCAGTGGAAAGCATGCGTGCTGATATGAACATCGTAATATGGCTCATTATCGTGTGGAAATCCAATAGCACTGCTACCAACACAGAACTGAAGATTGCTGACTTCTTTGGATTTCCCTTCAGCAATTTTGATTCGCTCAGCATCGGGATCGATTCCGACCGCCTGACCATCAGGGCCAACAATATCAGCGATATATTTAGTGAGATGGCCTGTACCGCAACCCATGTCAAGCACTTTGTCTCCCAAGGAGAGGTTTAACTCACGGATAAATTGACTACCTGCTTCGATTTGTGGGCTACTGACTTCATCATAGCTTTTAGCATTTTTATCGGCCTCCATTTGCGCACAAGAAAATCACAATATGGCAGAAATACTGTCTACAGATTCGTACCTGGTACAAGGGTGAAGGCTATGTCAGATACGGTAGAGCACCTAGTCCGCAGGCCTTTACCGGTGCGACCGCGAAATTCAATATGGCGCCAAGCTAAGGAGCGGAGTTTATGGCTCCCAGGGTCTTTCTTGTACCTCCCAGATCTGGGTAGTTGATTCTGATATAAACAAGTGAGAAATGCAACAAGGAGTTGAATATAATGACAATTCCTGAGCGTGATGGGACTTGTTTACGTTATTCAAAGTCAGAACTTTGTTGACGTTTGAAATCAGCCAATCAGAATCTACTGAGTTTAACTATGACCAATCAGAACCAACTATTAACCAGATCTTGTTAGCGCAGCTGGGGATCGACAAGCATTGCTATGAACTAGTGTCATATTTTATGTAAAATACTTAGCTTTCACCTTCGTTCATAAAGGTCATATTAGTAGTGCGTGAGGGCCATTAATTGTTACCGTTTAGGTAATAATGCTGTTCAACCCCCCGTAAATATTGATTTAATACTAGGAGTTACTATCGCAAGGAAAGTGCTGCCTATTTTGCCACATGAACTGAATGCAAAACCACTCCAAAGGGGAGTTTACTTTTGACCCAATGAACTTATTCTTAAATTGCGTGCACGGAACATGAGTAAATAACCAACATGAAAAAGTTGCCATTGGGTCAAAAGTGGATAAACGGCATACCCATTAGCTGACAATGCACCCCACTTTAGTATTAACTCTGTCTAACGCCAGACAAATTTACACTCTGTAACGCCAGACGATTTTACTTGTCAGTTGTAGAGTACTGTCAGTATCTGCTAATGTCTCTTATTAACCGCCATTGGCTGGCAATGCGCCGTACTTTAATAGTTACTGCCTATCCACTACCTGTAGGAAGCAATTTTGTATTGGGGGAGCTGATTAGTCAGGGGCGATTATTAGGTAATTATATCCCTCTCAAACTTCACAGATTATCGCTAGTTTACAAGTTGTTTTTTTTGTTTTTTTGGGGGGGGGGCGGGGCTGAAGACCCCAGACCCCCGGTTGCTACGGCCCTGCTATCAACGCCAGACAATTTTACTCGTCAGTGCCAGTAAACGACTTAATTTCTCGTCACCCCAATTTAAATTTTTACGATTTTTGTTGTTTCTAATTGCAGATTTTAACTTTAAAATATAGATTTTAATTCTGAAAATCAAGATTAAGATATTACAATTTATATTTAAAAAATCTAAATTTACGAAAACATTACTGAAATGTTTCATGTTTGATCAGTAATACCCCCCGCCCCAATCTTGATCCATCCCGTCACTGGGCCTGGGCCTCATCAGACGTTGCTCATTCGTCGTCCTTTTCAAGACCCCAGCACGTCGCTGGAGTCAATATGAGTAAAATACTCCTTGTATTAAAGCGCTTTCGTGTAGGAAGTTTCGTTTGAATAAGGCGAGTAGAAATATTTATTTTGAATTTTTCAAAATATAGGGTTTTTACTCGCACGCGCGCGCCACGTGTATGCTTGCGTGTATGCGTATATAGCCCGATGCACGTGCAAACCATGCCACTGGGAGTACTTTGACCTGTAGAATCGATTTCCGGTTTTTCCAAACCCCTAGGATGTAAACAGCTGTTTTGATGTAGGAACGTTTCACGGGCCGCGCTAAAAATATAAATATTCTGTAAATACCGAAATAAAAGATGAAAATCTGAAGACACAAGCTTGAAAATAACACTGTGAATAGTGTTTTGGATTCTGGTTCGAATGAGACTATAACGAAAAAGATATGTCCAAAGGGGCCGAAGTTATGTTCGGCGAAATGTATGGCTAGTTTACATTGTTCGTTTATATATAATGAAATATGATACCATACCTTACTTGTTAAAATTCGCGTCGTACTATTATTGTATTAATATTAGGCAAATGAGAACCATGCAATAAGTGTTTTAGTTCTTGTTATTTTAAACGCACGCTTTATCTTTACTACCACAACGTTTTTCGCGCGGATTATATTTCGCGCAGTGCTAAAATTTGCTCACCCAGCGCTGCGCGAATTCTAGTACTACGCGAATTTTAATACTGTAAGACATATTGTGCCATTGTGGACATTTGACTAATGTCAAAATAAAATTATAATGACAATACATTACTCGACTTTGAACAAACAATAGTTTATAAATTCTTAAACTCTTTCATATACATACTGTAGTAGCCAGCGATTTGTAGTAGGTGCCATAAGTAGGTAGCTAGTAGCATGAACCCAGGCTGTTACCCTCGATATTCGGAACTTTATTAAACCGGTTCATCACATCGATAAATAAACACTAAGTATATGAACTAAACATACAGATATTACTACTTTATGTACTGAAAATTTCGGGTGAAACACTTAAAAGACACATATTTGAGTAGCCTGCTCGCATCATTGAAGAAAATTTTGTTGAACAACCCCCTCATTTTACAAACCAACTCGAATACTTAATGAGCCCCCTGGAATGCCGAAATCTCCACCGAGTGAAAATCGCTATTCGACTATACATAACTCGGCCGCGGGGACTGGACACGAAAAAGCAAGAACGTCATGTAACGTTAAGAATAGTGTGCTGCCGAGCTGAGGCTCGGCAGCAATAATAATAATAACCCAACGTCGCTACGTCCCTGAGTCCGTGTAGATCTCAGCTTGAAGCCACGTGTCATACAGACATAACCTTTGTTAGCTTCCTCCGTTCCAATATACTAAATCACTAAACTATTCACTGTCCGATTAACTGTCAATCATCCTTGGAACATTCAAATTGACCAAACAAGGCACTTTAACAACAACACTATAATCGCTTTCACTGCCGTTCAGTGTTACAGATTGACGTTTACGACAGACCGGTAGCCGCAAACGGTAATCTTCAAGGTACGTTCTACAAGTTTTCGACAGTAGCTAATTCATGCTTCAATTTGAATTCACAAATTTCCTAACTTGGAAGCAAGCAATTTTTTTTTCAAGCAAGCAATTTTTAATCAGGAAGCCTACGTCACAATAATGTGTTTTTCAGTAGGGTCCTGCTAAACTACAAAAAACTTTACAGTGTTAATTAAATATAAGTATAGTAATACTATTTAGAAACTAGGCTAAATATATAAGGATAATTAAAACTAGGTATCAATAAAGCTATTTAAGTAGACTTTAAAAGTTTGAAGGTCTTTTGCTTCACGAATTTCTTGGGGCAATTCATTCCAGTCATTGCTGGCAAAATTGACCGTTGTCCAATGTCCCCATTTATGTCTCGCCGCTGATTGACGTATGTTACACTTAGACCTAGTGTTACAAGCATGCATATCCTGATGATATGTGATTTCAAAATTATAAGAGAAAAGATTATTCTTACATTTATAAATCAATATCAAACGGTTAACAATCCTCCTGGTCTTTAGATCTTTGCAGGGACATATACACTGTTCATGAATCACTGCAGGCCATTTTATCCCGATCAATTTTTGCATGCTGTGATGCGAATACATGGTACTTTAAAAGTGACTTGCCCGTCATCTTCTGTGGTAACAAGCTTCTTAACTAAGTCCGCATGTTTGTCAGGGTCCAGATCCTGGCGAGCTGAAGCTTTGAACCATCGCTTGAATTCTTCGAATGATTGAATTCGATATGGGTAGATCGGTGCATCTACCACAACATTGTTGAAGAGACCAACCTCTTGAAACATATCTCGATAGCCCTCTTGGACTTGGGTTAACGTATGAGCTCCTTCGATTTTCTCCTCATTCAGCATCTTTGCGGCACACCAGATGGCCAATTTCCCCCCAGCTTTCAAACATCGATGTGCTTTCTGTATGTAAATTCTTTTCTCATCATCAGGAACCCAGTGGAAAGCATTCGTGCTAATATGAACACCGTAATACGGCTCAGAATCGTTTGGAAATCCAATCACACTGTTACCAACATAGAACTGAAGATTGCCGACTGCTTTATATTTCTCTTCAGCAATTTTGATTCGCTCGGCATCGGGATCGATTGCGACCGCCTGACCATCAGGGCCAACAATATCTGCGATATATTTAGTGAGATGGCCTGTACCGCAACCCATGTCAAGCACTTTGTCTCCCAAGGAGAGGTTTAACTCACGGATAAATTGACTACCTGCTTCGATTTGTGGTCCACTGACTTCATCGTAGGCTTTAGCATTCGCATCGGCTTCCATTTTCGCACAAATATTGCATGCATGTCTGGTTTCATCATACTTAACTAGTGTCATATTTCATTTTTCGCAGACGTTCCTGGTTAGGTCTTAAAATGTATATATTCTCACTTGGATTACAAACCCTAACATCCTCATATTTCTGTAAAATACTTAGCTTTCATTTTGGTTCATAAAGGTCAACCGGAATCGGCGTTGCAAAGTTCGATTCCTGCCTCGCTCATGATTTCACCCAATGACTAAATAAACAGCCTGCTAACTCGGCACCAATGTAGAACTTGTTTCCAAATGGGCAAAATCATCTTCAACGCCGCAGAGAGTTTAGGAATATAATAATACATTCTAAAAGTGATTGGGTTTCATTAGATTACATTAATAATTGATTGGAAAGTAAAAGATTAAACACACACTATCAATTATCACTTTAACCAGTTGAAGGGAGTTACACCCTCCATACCCGGTTGCTACGTCCCTGATCGTACTTGAAGAGTAGATCTCTACAGCTTGAATCTACGTGTCATACAGACATAACCTTTGTTAGCTTTCACCGTTCCAATACACTAAATCACTAAACTATTCACTGTCCGACTATATATCAATCATCCTTGGAATATTCAAATTGACCAAACAGGCACTTTAATAACGCTATACTCGTTCAGTGATACAGACTTGACGATTACGACATACCGGTAACCGCAAACGGTAATCTTCAAATCGCATGTGAAGATAAGTTCTACAAGTTTTCGACAGTGGCTAAATCATGCTTCAATTTGAATTCACAAATTTCCTGACTTGGAACAACTAACAGTTGATCTCAAAATACGATTTGAGGTTTGCCGTTTCCAGTCTGCCGTAAACGTCAACCTGTAACTCTCTTTCCGTATACCACTGAAATACATGGAATTCGGCCGAGTCTGAACTATAGCTTATTACATTAGGGGAAAGCATATTTATTTCATTGACAAAAGTCGTCTAGGCTACTATAACTATAAGTACAAGCAATGCAGGGACATATACACTGTACACGAATCACTGCAGGCCATTTTATCCCGATCAATTTTTGCATGCTGTGATGTGAATACATGGTACTTTAAAAGTGACTTGCCCGTCATCTTCTGTGGTAACAAGCTTCTTAACTAAGTCCGCATGTTTGTCAGGGTCCAGATCCTGGCGAGCTGAAGCTTTGAACCATCGCTTGAATTCTTCGAATGATTCATATCGATATGGGTAGATCGGTGCATCTACCACAACATTGTTGAAGAGACCAACCTCTTGAAACATATCTCGATAGCCCTCTTGGACTTGGGTTAACGTATGAGCTCCTTCGATTTTCTCCTCATTCAGCATCTTTGCGGCACACCAGATGGCCAATTTCCCGCCAGCTTTCAAACATCGATGTGCTTTCTGTATGTAAATTCTTTTGTCATCATCAGGAACCCAGTGGAAAGCATTCGTGCTAATATGAACATCGTAATACGGCTCAGAATCGTTTGGAAATCCAATCACACTGTTACCAACATAGAACTGAAGATTGCCGACTGCTTTATATTTCTCTTCAGCAATTTTGATTCGCTCAGCATCGGGATCGATTCCGACCGCCTGACCATCAGGGCCAACAATATCTGCGATATATTTAGTGAGATGGCCTGTACCGCAACCCATGTCAAGCACTTTGTCTCCCAAGGAGAGGTTTAACTCACGGATAAATTGACTACCTGCTTCGATTTGTGGTCCACTGACTTCATCGTAGGCTTTAGCATTCGCATCGGCTTCCATTTTCGCACAAATATTGCATGCATGTCTGGTTTCGTCATACTTAACTAGTGTCATATTTCATTTTTCGCAGACGTTCCTGGTTAGGTCTTAAAATGTATATATTCTCACTTGGATTACAAACCCTAACATCCTCATATTTCTGTAAAATACTTAGCTTTCATTTTGGTTCATAAAGGTCAACCGGAATCGCAGAGCCGCAGGTTCGATATTTCCTGCCTCGCTCATGATTTTACCCAATGACCAAATAAACTGCCTGCTAACTCGGCACCAATGTAGAACTTGTTTCCAAATGAGCAAAACCATCTTCAACGCCGTAGAGAGTTTAGAAATATAATAATAATACATTCTAAAAGTGATTGGGTTTGATTAGATTACATTAATAATTGACTGGAAAGTAAAAGATTAAACACACACTGTCAATTATCACTTAACCGACTTGAAGAGTACATCTCTACAGCTTGACGATTCGTGTCTTACAGACATAACCTTTGTTAGCTTTCTCCGTTCCAATACTAAATCACTAAACTATTCACTGTCCGATTAACTATCAATCATCCACGGAATATTCAAATATAATCGCTTTCACTGCCGTTCAGTGTTACGGATTGACGTTTACGACAGACAGGTAACAGCAAACGGTAATCTTCAAGGACTCAAGGTACGTTCTACAAGTTTTCGACAGTAGCTAATTCATGCTTCAATTTGAATGCACAAATTTCCTAACTTGGAACAACTAACAGTTGACCTCAAAATACGATTTGAGCTTGGCCGTTTCCAGTCTGCCGTAAACATGGAATTCGGCCGAGTCTGAACTACAGCTTATTACATTAGGCGAAAGCATATTTATTTCATTGTCAAAAGTCGTCTAGGCTACTATAGGTACAAGCAATGCAGGGACATATATATATACTGTACATGAATCACTGCAGGCCACTTTATCCCGATCAATTTTTGCATGCTGTGATGCGAATACATGGTATTTTACAAGTGACTTGCCCGTCATCTTCTGTGGTCACATATTTCTTAACTATGTCCGCATGTTTGTCAAGGTCCAGATCCTGGCGAGCTGAACCTTTGAACCATCGCTTGAACTCTTCAAATGATTCACATCGATATGGGTAGATCGGTGCATCCACCACAACGTTATTGAAGAGACCAACCTCTTGAAACACATCTTGATAGCCATCTTGGGTTAACGTATGAACTCCTTTGATTTTCTCATCATTAGGCACTTTTGCGGCACACCAGATGGCCAGTTTCCCCCCAGCTTTCAAACACTGATGTGCTTTCTGTATGTAAATTCTTTTCTCATCATCAGGAACCCAATGGAATGCATGCGTACTGATATGAACATCGTAATATGGCTCATTATCGTGTGGAAATCCAATTGCACTGCTACCAACATAGAACTGAAGATTACCGACTTCTTTAGATTTCCCTTCGGCAATTTTGATTCGCTCAGCATCGGGATCGATTCCGACCGCCTGACCATCAGGGCCAACAATATCAGCGATATATTTAGTGAGATGGCCTGTACCGCAACCCATGTCAAGCACTTTGTCTCCCAAGGAAAGGTTTAACTCACGGATAAATCGACTACCTGCTTCGATTTGTGGTCCACTGACTTCATCGTAGGATTTAGCATTCGCATCGGCCTCCATTTTCGCACAAGAAAATCACAATATGGCAGGACAACTTATTGTGTAGATATAAATCACAAATATTTCATGCATGTATGGTTTCATCATACTTAACTAGTGTCATATTTTATGTAAAATACTTAGCTTTCACCTTGGTTCATAAAAGGTCAACCGTAATCGCAGGCCCGCAGGTTCTATTCCTGCCTCGCTCATGATTTCACCCAATAACCAAATAAACTTCCTGCTAACTCGGCAACAACGTAGAACTTGTTTCCAAATGGGCAAAACCATCTTCAACGCAGTAGAGAGTTTAGAAATATAATAATAATACATTCTAAAAGTGATTGGGTTTGATTAGATCACATTTTTAATAATTGATTGGAAAGTAAAAGATTAAACACATGCACACTATCAATTATCACTTAACCAGTTGGGGGGAGTTACACCCTCCATACCCCCCCCCCCCCCCCCCCACCC